AGACGTTGCGGAGAACACTAAGACGTCATCCGGATACACTAAGCAGGTTTTACACTTTTACCCCGATAGCACGGTATCCAGGGGTCTTTGAAAGGTAGCAGGTGCTGAGCACAAACCGAAAGGCAAGACCTCAAATTCATATAACCCATCTGGTGTTACAGAAGCGGTCTTCTCACGGTCTCTCGTATCCACCTCGATTCGCCAATATTTACTCCGCAAGTCCATTGAAGAGAAGTATCGAACATTTCGATGTGTGTCGAGAGAGTCAACTATACGCGGTAGTGGATACTCGTCTTTCTTGGTCACCTGATTTAGCTTCCGGTAATCCACACAGAAGCACAGGCTGCCATCCATTTTCTTAACGAGGACTACAGGTGACGCCCAGGGGTTCTGTGAAGGCTGAATGACGTCATCTTCAAGCATTCTGTCTACCTGCTGTTGTATTGCTTCACGTTCTTTTGGAGCCACACGATAAGGGTTCTGGTGAATAGGTCTTGCCGTTTCCTCGGTAATTATTTCATGCCTGGTTAGAGGCGTGTGGCCATCTCTTGATGTTGCCAAAAAGCAGTCTTGAAATTTGGCCAGTAGATCAAAGAGTATGCGTTGGTCATCTTTCGGCAAAGTAATGCTAACGTCCAAAAAGGCGCTGAATCAAGATTTAGTCGCTTGTCGACTACCACCAATCAGCTTTCAGCATCTACTACATCGTCGAAGTAAGCGACAGTCATGCCTCTTGGAAGGTGCCGGAGCTCAGCTCTAAAATCGGTCAGCAGCAAGTCCGTGCGTCCAGCAGCAACACAGAGAATACCTGGTGTGACGGAAATACCGTGGGTGAAGAGCAGCGAGCTCATTAGGTCTGCAACTCCTTCGGCGTCAAGCTGAGCAGCGGTGGCCACAGAAACAAGCCTGCATGACCTAGGAGGAAGAATGACATCGTCATCAATTAGATGCAGTTGGTTTGGTGGCGCCTCCGGAGAATTGGGTAAGCCCGACCTGTTGCAAAACGTAATCAAGCTCCCTGGTATGTTGATGACGGCGCCATATTTCCGTAAAATATCTATGCCCAGAGTTACATCTCCGCAGCATGCGGCGATAACGATGAACGACGCAGTGAAAGTAGAACCTCTGATGTCAATTCTTGCGGTACATCTTCCAGAGGGCATCAATAACTGGCCCCCTGCCACTTTTTTATGAGGGCCCTGCCACGGCGTCTTCACTTTTCTGAGGCTGTCGGCGAGGTCCTGACTGATAATACAGAATTCGGCACCAGTGTCGACTAAATCTGTCACTTTCTGGCCGTCAAAAACAGCCCTAAGGGCGGCCCTCACAATTTCATCGTTTTCATGACTTGTCGGCTCTACGACGTCATGTTGTGGGGGCTTATTATTGTCATCTTTATGGCTTTTAACCTTGCCTTCGAAGGTCGCCGCCCTCATTTTCCCGGCGCGGGATAGGTAACCTACTTCTATTAAGGTCCGCGCAGGTGCGATGGTGCGACAAAGGCGAACGCGCAGGTGACGGAGAGTGGGATTGACGTCTCAGACCAGGAGGTTGAGTAGGCATTGCCTCCACTGCAGTGGTACAGTCGTATTCAAAGCGAGAACGGGCTCAATAAAAAGAGGTGTCGTCACGGCTTGGAGTGTATTCGTCGTTGGCACGTCGACCATGAAACCAAGGTCGATGAGGAGGGAATGAATGACCTCGATGCCAGCAATGACAGGGTAATATGGCTAGCACCTCCGCAGTGAAATCACAGTGGGCGTCTGTCCACTGTGCGCTATGCATCTGTTTTTCGGGTTGGTGGACATCTGAGCATCTCCTCTGGCGTCGACGCCCATAGGGTGGCTGTGGACGGCTGGTTGTATGGCTCAAGCGTGTGTGTTTGATGCAGTGTCTGCTCTTGCGGCGGAGACCAAGTGGCCATTGCCACCTGGTGGTACAGCGTCGACATAGCGATTGGTGGACGTCAGAGAGCGGCAGCGTAACTCATAGGACGCTGCTGAGCATCAGGACCAGCCGTACTCAACGCTTGGTGGATTTCGTCGCGTATGACTTCAGCGACCGACGCGATGGGATTTTCAGCAGCCGAAATCCATAACCTCTGCAGTTCTTCGCGAACTATCTCGCTAATCAAGTCTCACAAAAAGCTCTCACTCTCAGACGTCATGGCGATTGCATTGATTGGGACATTGCTGGGCATGCGGTCATATTGCCAGCAGTGTTGATGAAGGACCCGATCGGTAACTGTAATCTTTTTAAAGAAGTCAACCACGGTACCTACAGGGTTGCGCAGTAGCCCGGCGAAAAGCTGTGCCTTGACACCGCGCATGAGGTAACTCAACTTTTTATCTTCTGTCATGTGCGGGTTAGCTTGATGAGAGATACGAGTCATGTCCTCGGCAAACATGGCAACGGTTTCGTTGGGTTTTTTGAACCAGTAGCTCCAATAACTGTTGTGCACGGTCTTTTCGATCGACATTGGCAAAGGTATCGACGAACTTCTGTCGAAAATTGAGCCAATCTGACAGATTGCCTTCTCTATTCTCATTTCAAGTACGAGCACCGTCGTCAAGGAAAAAGCTTTTCCTGTTCCGACCACTGATTGACCTTGGCAAAATGCTCGTAGTGGTCAAGCCAGTCGTCAACGTTCTCATGGGTATCGCCACTAAAGCGATCAGGAGCGAGAGGTTGAATTATGGTCACCTGAGATGGGTGCGTCGGAAAGCTGCTTTGGGGCACCTGTTGCGGGCTTGCGTTGGCCATTGGTTGAAGTGTGCGGTGCCTAGAAGGTTTCGGAGAGTGAATGAGCTCTGGCACGAGGCCTCGCCACCGTCGATTGGAGCATGCACCGGAGTTTCTACAGGTGACAATGCGTCTTGACTCGATGAACGGCTCCCAGAGGGCGTTTGGAGCATCACACACGGTTGCGGTCCAGCACCTCAACCAGTGTCGCCGTAAAACGCGAAAAAAACATAGGTACAACTTGAGACAACGAAAGCAGCGCCTTGCTTGCTTGTTCCTTTCTTTTGTGGCTCTCACCCTGTCTTGTGGCTGGTGCCGCGCCAGCGTGGCAGAGCACGAGCGGAGAGAGACGATACGCACGACAGCTGCTGAGCTAACGAAAAGGGCCCTCCCACTTTATTCGGGGCCGAATATATACAATCTCAGGGGCGCCACCTGCTAGTGGCAGCCGAACTAAATGACTGAAGGGTGGCGACCTCTACATCTCCCCCCTTGAAGACCAGACCGAAGACGGAGGACGCCAGACACTGCACATCACAAGTTCAGGTGGTTCGGATGCACAACACGGTGGCCACTACGTGTTACACCATCACTGCGGTCACTGTCTGCCGGGGGCAGTCCAAGGGAGTCGGGTGGTTGCACTGTAGTAGTTTGCTGGGGTTCCAGAGGAGGCAGTGTTCGCGGTGGCTCCTGCTCCTCAGACGGCGGTGGTTCCACCCTTGGCGCAGGAGGTGCAAAAGGCACTAGGTGACGCCTGGTTGCGCTGTAGGACGCCACCCTGCTCCGTTTCCACGACATAACTTCGAGGTCGGCGTGCTGGGCTAAGCACTGTAGATTTGACCTGATCAGGTCGTACCCAGACAGACTGGCCTGTTCGGAGCGATGACAGATCTTGAGCTCTGTGATGCCTGTTAAAGTCAGCGGCCTGTTTCTGCTTGTAGGCTGCATCTTTTCTCCTCACGTCTTTCCTCGACGGCCAGTGAGGACATAACTGGGAGTCCTGTTTCGGCACTTTGGTTCGGAGTTGTCGTCCCATCAAGAGCTGGGCCGGGCTGAAGCCATCGACTCCGGGGGTGTCCCGGTAGCGGAGTAAGGCCAGATGAGGGTCTGTTGCTTTGCGAAACAACTCCTTGATTGTCCTGACCATTCTCTCCGCCTCTCCGTTCGATTGCGCATAGTGCGGGCTGCTGGTGACGTGGTCAAAGCCGTAAGATGCCGCTAATGCTGCAAACTCGCGTGAAGAGAACGGTGGACCGTTGTCTGCTCTGACTTCTCGCGGAATCCCATGCCGGGCAAAGATGCTTTTGAGAACGTTGATGACTGCCTGGGCCGTTGTGCTCCGCAAGGTTACAACTTCAGGGTACCTGGAGTGGTAGTCCACCACCAAGATGAATGTCTGGCTGCGGAGGTGGAACAGGTCCACGCCGACAAGTTCCCAGGGACGTCCAAGTAGGACCGTGGAGACCAGGGGATCTGCATGGTTCACCCGAGTGGAAGCACATTGCTCGCAGTTAGTTACCAGAGAGGTAATGTCTGCCGAAATGCCAGGCCACCAAATGGACTCTCGGGCGAGAGCGTTCGTCCTGTTGATGCCTTGGTGTCCTTCGTGCAACAGCGTCAAAACAGCCGACCGAAGAGAATGCGGGATGAATATCCTGGCGCCTTTCAGTAGAACACCGTCGCAGACAGAGAGCTCATCTGCTGCTGAGGCATACTGGGAGAGGTGCAGTGGCAGTTTGGACTTATGTGGCCAACCATTCTGGCAGAAGGAGGTGAGGGCTCTGCATTCCCCATCGGACTCTTGTGCTTGTCGCACGTCCTCTGGGCTTAGTGGCAAGGCTTCTGACATGCCGCTGACCACTTGAGCTGCAAACAATTTCACGGTGTCCAGGGGGAGGAACGCCTTCTGGGTGATGCGTGACAAGGTATCTGTCGTAGCTAACAGCTTTCCTGGCACGTGGAGCATTCGGAAATGGTATCGCATGGTCTTTAACCTGAGCCTCTGTATGCGAGGCGGCAGCATGTCCAGCTCCATCTTGCCGACGAGAGAAACGAGTGGTAGGTGATCTGTCTCAACATCGAAGGTTATGCCGCGGACGAATTCGTCAAACCGTTGGATAGCCCATGTAGGTTGCCAACGCTTCCTTTTCTGTCTGGCTGTAACGCTGCTCTGTCTCGGTCATTGATCTCGAAGCAAACGCAACTGGGCGGCGCTCTCCAGAGGGCTGTGTCTGCAGCAAGACTGCGCCCAGTCCGAATTAGCTTGCGCCAGCCGAAACTGTGGTGGCGTATGATGGATGGTACTTGGCCATGCAACGGTCTGATGTCAGGAGTTGCTTGATTTTCTCGAATGCAGCATTTTGTTCATGCTGCCACACCCAAGTCGCAGACTTGTTTAGAAGTGCTCTGATGGGAGCTGTGACCTCTGAGATGGAAGGCAAAAACCGGGCAAGATGGTTCACCATTCCGAGCAGTCGCCGGACACCTGCGATGTCTGTTGGAGCCTCCATGGCTTTGATTGCTTCGACCTTGTCTGGACTTGGCCTGATGCCTTGTGCTGAAACGATGACTCCTAGGAAGGAGACGTCGGAGACACCAAAACGACACTTGTCTTGGTTCAACGTGATGCCTGCTTTTGCAAGGCGAGACAGCACCTGGCTCAGTCTGGCATCGTGCTTCCTCGCGGGTGCGCCCAAAGACCAGAATGTTGTCTATCATATTGGCGACTCCTTCCTGGCCCTCCAGGATCCTGGCCATCTGTTTTTGGAAGTACTCCGGCGTGGAGGCGATGCCAAAGGGGAGCCGGCAGAAGCAGTATCGGCCAAATGGGCTGATGAACGTTGTGAGCTCTTGGGAGTCTGCGGATAGTTTAACCTGATGAAAACTGGCTGTTGCATCCAGCTTGGAGAAAACTGTTGCGTCGCCAAGGAGGCCAAGGACTTGCTCTACCGTTGGTAGGATGTGGCGTTCCCGAAGGACAACCTTGTTCAGCTGAGTCAAGTCAACGCACAGCCGGTAGGAACCATCGGCTTTCCGTACTACAACGAGACCAGAGCACCACGGGGTTGGGTTGTTCACCCTGCGGATCACGCCTCCTTCCTCCAGTTTGTCAAGCTCGTGACGGACGACCTCGCGTAGCGGGATGGAAATCCTGCGAGGCACACTTAGGGAGAAGGGTACAGCGTCAGGTCTCAGAAGGATAGTGTACTCGTCCTTGAGGGTGCCCAATCTCTGGAAGAGCTCAGCACGCAATGTTGATTTCGGAGTCTGAAGTTCGTCGAGAAACTTTACAACTTCCAGAGCTTGAAGCGCCGGCAGTCCAAGAAGAGGTACGGTGAGAGACTGGATCACGTACAAGCGCTGAGAGCTCATTTTCCCGTGCCACTGAAGTCTCGCCATGTACGAACCCAGCACGCGCAGCGGCTGACCGCCAGGTCCGGTGAGCAGGCTGTTGACGGGGTCGAGCTTGGCCGGCAATGCAGGGAAGTCGCTCGGAATGGCGGACACCTCGGCTCCGGAATCGACCTTGAACTGCGCTGTGTAGTTGTCAACGGTGATGTCGATGAACTTTGCCGCGGCGAGCGTCCCGACAGCGTGTAGCTGAATGGAGTCGAGCTTCTGTTTTGCCTGCCGCGCGCGGCACACTTCCGCAAAGTGTCCTTTCTTTTTGCAGAAGTTGCAGACGGAGTTTCGAGCAGGGCAGTTAGAACGTGAATGTGGCGCGCGGCCGCATAATTCACATGTTGACGGCTGGCAGGAGCGCTCTGCTTTCCGCGGGGGCGAAGGCCGCTTATCGTAGTTGCGGGGGCGAGAGGCGAACTTCTTATCTCGTACGGCGTCGAGGTGTAGCTCGCGGGAGTGCTCTGCGCAGTTTTGAGGCAACGTTTTTTCTTTGTCGGCGTCTTCTGATTGACGGGCCTGCATCCATGCTTCTTTGAGCGTCAATTTCGCGTTCCGGCAAAGCTGGTCCGAAAGGCGCGAGTCGCGGAGGCCGACGACGAATCTATCGCGTACAAGCCTTCGCTCCACCTCAGCTGACGGATAGTTGCACCGCTTCACCATTCTACACAGTTCGGCATAGTAGGCGTCGACGCTCTCGTCGGGTAACTGAACACGCCGGTGAAAACGCGACGACTCGTACAGTTCATTCGCCGGATGCATGAAGTGGTCGGTGAAGCTGGCGGCAACCGCTTGAAATGAGGCGAGTGATGCGGTGTCGAGCGAGAACGTCTCAAGAAGTGGGCGGGCCTCCGGCCCCATGCAGTACAACAACGAGCGTACCTGCATGTCACCGGATGCTTGAGTCAGGCCGGAAATGACGGCGTAGTCCTCGTAGCGGCGGAGCCATGCTGGCCAGGTTCACGGGTTCACAAAGTCGAACGGTGCGGGCGGCTGGAGGTTGAGGCTGAGCTTTTTCGGCGCCATCGTCGTGCGGTACGGGCGAGTTCGCGATGAGGGGGCATTACGCAGCCACTTCTGACACCATGTCTTGTGGCTGGTGCCGCGCCAGCATGGCAGAGCACGAGCGGAGAGAGACGATACGCACGACAGCTGCTCAGCTAACGAAAAGGGCGCTCCCACTTTATTCGGGGCCGAATATGGATGGATGGATGGATGCTATGAGCGTCCCCTTTATAACGGGGTGGTGACAAGTATGCCACCAGGCTCGACAAAAAAAAACCTTTTTTCTTTTTTTATGTTGGCCTAATGCCTCTACTTCGATAAATTCTATCCTAATGGAAAAAAAGGTAAATTTTCAGCTTAAGTTCTCTGCCATTTACGGCACACTATCCATTATTTGTTTTTCCAATATTTATTTTTGTCCTTTCTCTCTAATTTTCTGCCACCAATATTCTAACCGTCTCTTACTTATTTCAATCGCGGGTGTGTTCAGCTTTCCATTGTTGTCCCTAAAACCCAAGGCTTCCTGTAGGCTCGTGCCCAAACGTACACCTGGGTGGATATCTCCACATTCAATCAGAACATGCTCCGCCGTTTCCTTATCTTTCCCGCAGCATGTGCATTGTTCTTCTTCTTACTGAATCTTGCTTTATAACTACGCGTTCTAAGGCAACCCGATCTCGCTTCAAACAGTAAAGCGCTTCCCCTTGAATTATCGTAAAATGCCTCCCTCCTTATTTCATTTTAGCCCTTTCGGTAGTTACTCAAAGCCGGTTTTTTCTCCATAGCTGCCATCCAGTAAATCCTCTCCGCCTCCCTGACTTTTCCCTTAACGCTCTTTGTTGACATATGGCTCACAATACCAGCCGTATATTTACTAGTGAGTCTTCTAGTTCTTTTTCTCCACTGTGTGTCCACGCTCTTCCTATACAAATAACGGAACACCTTCTCTGCCCATCTACTCTCCTTCATATTTCTTAGCCTTTCTTCGAACCTTATTTTGCTCTGCGCTTCCCTCGCCTCAAAACCTGCCCACCCCATATCGCCCTTTACAGCCTCGTGTGTCGTCTTCCCGTGAGCACCCAACGCGAGGCGTCCCACAGTCCTTTGATTTACATCCATTCCCGATTGCACCTCTGCCCTCATGCACACCACTGAGTTCCCAAAAGTAAGCCCTGGAACCATTACACCCTTCCACAGACCTCGAAGCACCTCATACCTATTGTATCCCCACAACGCTCTGTGCTTCATTATTGCCGCATTCCTCTTTCCTTTTGCTGCCGAGGCTTTTTCCTGTACCTCCATGTATCTATCACTCTCATTTACCCATACTCCAAGGTACTTGTATTCACTTACCCTCGGTATTTCTTGGCCTTGTATGGACACCGTCTGATCACAGGGATCATTGAATACCATCAATCCACACTTCGTTACACTGAATCCTAGTCCAAGAGCTTCACCTTCCCTTCCGCATATATTCGCCAGCTGCTGTATATCATCTCGACTGTCCGCAAATAAGACGATATCGTCCGCATAAAATAAACCTGGAAGCTTCTGCTCAATCATCATGCCGCCCTGTTTGTGTGACAGATTAAAACCAATGTTGCTACCTTCTAGCGCTTTTTCCATACTCACCATGTACAGCATGAATAACAGCGGGGACAAAGGACATCCCTGTCTCAGACCCCTGCTGACCTCAACGTTCTCTTTGCTACGCATTCCTTCCCACTCTATGCAAACTGTATTTTCTCGGTATATCTCCCTCAAAAGCTGTATACAGTCGTCGCCCATGCCCATTCCTTTCAATATATCCCACAAAATGTCCTGATTAACGTTGTCGTATGCCCCAGTGATGTCTAGAAAAGCCACGTACAAGGGCCTATTCTCTATTTTAGATATTTCTATACACTGAGTGAGAACAAACAGGTTATCGTCTAACCGCCTGTCGACTCGAAATCCGTTCTGAAGTTCTCCCAAAATATCGTTATGTTCGGCCCATGTTTCTATTTTCATTTTTACTGCTTGCATCGCCAACCTGTATAGTACCGATGTAATGGTTAGTGGTCTATACGAGCGAATCTTGTCCTTTTCTCCCTTGCCTTTATAGATTAAGTTCATTCTACTTTGTCGCCAACTGTCCGGTATTTGTCCGTCCTTCAAGTTTTTTTCTACTGCTTTTAACAATGCTTCTTTAGTGTTATGTCCTAGTTCGTTAATGAGGCTAACGGGAATCCCATCTAAACCCGCGGCAGTGCGCTTTGGAATTTTTCCTTCGGCCTTTTTCCAGTTGAAATTATCAAGTACTAGCTCTTCCTCTGTTGCTTTCTCCGCCACACTTTTACTCACCGGGGAGATCCCCTGGACGCTCTTTTGAAACGAATCGGCTGTTACCTTTTGGATGTAACCTAGCGCTTCGTACCCTTCCAATTGAATTCCTCCTTCATCTAGAATATGTTGTTGCGTTGTGACAGACTTCCTACCTAGCGCCTTTATGTGGCTCCAAAAAATCCTAGGCGCGGCCTCCTTTTTTTCGTGTAGCTCTGTCATCCAGCGTTCACTTTCACCTTTAATTTTTGCCTCTACCAATTTCTGTACAAGGGATTTTTTCTCTAAATATATTTCCCATATTTTTTTGACTTCGTCCTGCGGCCGCTTCTCCTTTTTTGCCTTTCTATGCTCCCGTGATGCTTCGCGTCGCTTCTCGATCGCCTCCCGGATTTCCTTGTTCCACCAACTTTTTGGCTTCCTTTTTCCTTTCCAGCAAACAGTTTTCTTCTCTTTCCCTATCTCCTTCGTCATTAGATGTAACAGCTCACTATACTCCCAGTCCTTGCCTGGTAGTTCGCCTACTTCTTCCTCGACTCTTGCGGCTATATTTATTATTTGTTTGTCATTTAAATACGAGCTGCCAGACTTTGATTCCATGCTCATATTTTCAGTTTCGTATCCCATTTGTAATGTTATTCGTTTATGATCACTACCCAAGCGTTTATGATCACTACCCAAGAATATATACAATCTCAGGGGCGCCACCTGCTAGTGGCAGCCGAACTAAATGACTGAAGGGTGGCGACCTCTACAACCCTCTAAGAGGGATTGGCCAAGAAGCCGGTGGGTAATGCAAATCAATGCCTTTAGATTTTCTAGATTAGGGGAATATGATTACTGTGTTTTGACTAGTTCATTTTGGTTAGGAGATGAAATATCATAAGCATTTTATTTGAAATATTCTGCATCTCTCACATTTTTTTCGAGTGCACCGCGGAATACTGCCGTGATGGAAACTTCAAACCTTATTTAACATACAAAGTTAATGCTCACTCAACTGCAGAATTTTTTTGTTGACAACTGCGTAAAAAACTAGGAGTAGCACAATCAACGTTAGGATCTATTCAGCGTGTTCAATTAAAGGAAGAGGTCGACAAGGGCCTTACCATGGGGACAGTGTCTCATTCTTTTTAATACGTTGCATTTTCCTCAATAAAACTTTGTAATCCAGTCTCTGTGAAAAATTGAATTGCTGCACAAACTTGAAGAAAAAACAAGAGAGACAGGAAAGAGCGCAGCTGCGCTCTTTCCTGTCTCTCTTGTTTTTTCTTCAAGTTTGTGCAGAAATTGAATTTTTCAAGTATAAACCAACTAGTCTGCAAAAAAGTATTGCTTCAGTCTCTGTGATACGGCACAAAAAGCTAGAACTATTTGCTGAGCGTGGTAGCTTGTAATGTTTCAATTGTCACAATCTTTCAAGAGTGGAAAAATTATCTCAATGGTGCCTTTTATCTGTATTTGCAATCACCAGTTGATTAATGGAATGGATAAAAAGGTTCAAGAGCAAACTTCTGAACTTCGCGCCGAATACCCAGTGGCCAACAGTCAGCATGAGGTCGCATATTCCAACAATCTTACATTTATTTATTTATTTAAGGCCTGTTTCTGTAGACCAAATTGTTACAAAGCCTCAGCTAGGGTGAAAAATTTTGAGACTACGATCTCTTATTTAAACGCCTTGAGCTTAGCCAAATGTTTTACATTAATAAATTCTTCCCATATAGAAAAGTTTGTTTTGTGCATATACGGTTGGCGCCCGCGAATGACAGGTCAATCAAAGATGCTTATAAAATCGCACTTTCGGTTTCGGCTTCTTGATTGCACGAAGCAGCGTCTTCTCAACAGCTGAGCCACAAGATCGTCTTCTTCGATCACGAGTGACGCTAAAGGCCCACTACCTCGTGTGTCCACTAAATCCCCAATCATCATTTTCGTCCAAATGTAGACATGCATCAAATATATATATATTGCCACCCACACATAGTGGGTCGACTGCAAGAGCGGCTCTACCATCTGGAGGAAAGAAAGAAGATTTGCGTGTCTCTTGTGGGCTCGAGAGCCAGCCACGACTGACGCATCGTCCTAGAGCTAGCTACCCGGTCGTTCAATATATCCCCCAGTACTTGTGACTCATCGTGACAAACTGATGGAAGGTGCTGGGTAGTCTCACGGATGCTGCAGACCCCCCCCCCCAGGAAGCCGTAATACGAGTCCAGTGCCAGTCAATACTCCCGTGCATCGGACCAGCCGCCGAATCAGGGGATTGCCTCCGGAAGTCAACGATACTGCTCCCACCACGTCAACAAACATGACCAGCACTTCGGTACAAACCTTGCCAACCGGCACGGGAAGCACGTCGTCGAACCGATATACGTTGGAAAGCCCACGGGCACCGACGACGTTCCATGGTACGGAAAGCGAAGACGTTGAGGACTGGTTGGCGGACTTCGAGCGCGTAGCCAACTTGAATCAGTGGGACGACGCGGCGAAACTGGGTCGTGTCTACTTCTATCTCGAAGACGGGGCTCGCA